GAGAGAGAGAGAGAGAGAGAGAGAGAGAGAGAGAGAGAGAGAGAGAGAGAGAGAGAGAGAGAGAGAGGCTGGAACAGCTGACAATTCTCCAATGCGATTTTTTGCACAAGTTTGATCCGGTGTGAACTGGATGGTTGCTATGTTCTCTTGTTTTGGAGGGAAGGCCACGGCCATGCAATTTTCCAGCTCCACTCCAAGAAGAGAAATGGCAGTTTGATCGGTGGCATACATACAGGCAGAGCAGGGACTCCATATTAGAGTTTGTAGTATATACTGTGTCAATAGTTGATCGAGTTGATCATGTGTGATGTTTAAATAGTTGGCGATAGCGGAGAATAGTGTTAAACATGTGGGATGAGAGTGAGAGCTTCAGTTGGTGCACCATGCGATGATTGGGTCATGTTGGAGGATGGGAGAGACAGACAGAAAGAAGGGGCTCAGCTGGTTCCTTCTCAACAAGGCCAGCGGCAAGGTGATAATGTGGTCGCACTTGAAACATGGATTCGGATGTTGCTTAACGCCATCCACAATTCTTCCTTATTCCGGACAGCAAGTGGAATGCAAAAGGGAGCAGCGGCAGAAGAGTAGCAGATTGAGAGAAGGGGCAAAAAGGGAGTGGGAATCAAGGTGCAGATCACATTTCTTCTACTGTGACGGCTGTGCAAGAGCATCGGGGAGAGGATGGCAAGTCATATCTGCGTCTTGACAAACGGTGAGTTTGCTGTGACCTTCGTTCTCCAAGATGTGTCATGCAGAATTTCGAGCGTTGTAAAATCAGGCTGCGAATTGAGCGGCAGTTATGCTTAACCATCGCCAGTGGGTCAACTGTACTTTGCCGCATGTAACTGCTAATGTACACATTGTGGCTCTGGCCACAGTCTCACTCTAGTCCTAGCCGTCACCACGTGGTGCACTTCAAAAATACCAGCAGGAGCTTGGAATCGTTCCAGAAATTGCTGTTGCTCGAATTGCATGAATTGCACACACTTCTGGTTATGGCTAGGCATGTGGTAGCCATAGCCAGACTGGTGACTCTGGCTAGCCACGAGTTAGCTATGGTCACACACTTTACCACATCATATTAGCCATAGTTACACAATGTGAATTTATGGGTATAGCGCAGTCATCCATAGTCACACATCTTGTGACTACAGCATTGTTAGCCCTAGTCACATAATTGCTGCACCCGGTTTCCAGCAGGTGACGCTCACCACCGATAGATCGGAGCACCCGGTGACAGGTCTGGTACAGAGAGCTGCTCTTATCACTTACGCTAGCAGGCCGACGCTCGTGTTTTCATTTAAGAAAAAAAGAAAAAAAGCCCTAGTCACACGATTGAGACAATGGCTAACCACAAGTTAATCGCAGTAACCCAGCTGTTACGACAGAACAGCTAGCCATAATTGCTAGGCAGAAGTTAACCATAGTCACACACCTGTGACTACAGCGCAGTCACCCATAGTCATTTACTTCTGACTATAGCACTTAGCCACAGTCACAAGTTGGTGATAATGACACCGTTGTCACTATGAGTGGTCTGAGGATCTCCATAGTCACACACATTGTGACTCGCCAGCTTTGTCACTATGAGTGGTCTGAAGGTCTCCATAGTCACACACATTGTGGATACGGCTAGTCACAAGTTACATATAGTCACACACCTATGGCTACAGGACAGTTAGCTAAAATCACACGTACACACGGTAGCCATGGCGGCCACACTTGTGACTATGGCGGTTACGGTCCAGGGGTGCTGGTGGTCTTCTGATGGAAACCTGACCAGTTGATATGGAGTATCGTTCGGAACTTTTCTGTTCTCTCTTTCCCTGGTCCAGGCGCCTCTCTGCCCCAGGAGCTACCTCGAAAACCAGATCCAAAGCCTGCAGATGCAGATGAGATTCCTGTGTGTCAAAGGTCACCACCAACGGGCAGACAGGACAAGTATACCGAATGTCCTAAGGTGCACAGGATTCTCTCTCAGTCCTGCAATGACCGCGAACTAAACAGGCACTCCATCAACAGACACAACAGGAAAAAACACGTGTGTCTGCAAATGGACACAATGGGACAGGACAAGACCTCTGCCAAAAAAAGGACCCACAGAATAAAAAAAATATAAAAGTAAAGCAATGGATGAATTGGGGTTTCGCCCTACTACTCTCGACTTTCGAAAACCTGAGAGCCAGGTTCCACTCCGTTTACTCTGGAAATGAACACTTGAAAACATTCCAAAGTTGTCAGAAAAGTCTTTGAGAAATCTCTTCAAAGTTGGAGAGTCCCCCGCCTGTAGCAATGGTGAAATTGAGAGACCTTCATCAGCCTCTCTCAAAAACCTCAGTATTTGGAGTGTGAACCTCCAGCCGGGAGCCAACTTGTAGAAAGACTGTGCGAGGAGTAGAGGAGAATGATGGGCGGAGTGATTGAGATTGAGGTAGAAGCGTTTAGATAGCGGGTTGACGCTGCTGACGTGGCGCGGGGGGGGGTTGAATAGGGAGTTGGAGGAACAGGGAGAGTAGGAGATAGAGTTGGACTCAGAATGTAGGCGTATTTGAGAGGTGTAGGTGAAGGGGATGGGTAAGGTGCTAATGTGGGCGGTGGAACTGGAATAGCGGGATGACTGATGTGGCGAGGTAGGATAAGGGAAATGTAGCGTGCAGGGAGGGGGATGTATGGAGGGCGTCAGGAAGGAGGGCGTTGGACTGCGCTGGGGATGATGCTGGGGGCTGGGGGTTGTACAGTAGGGGTGGACGAAATGTGGGTAAGTGCTGGGGGCTGGGGGTTGTACAATAGGGGTGGACGAAATGTGGGTAAGGGCCTACTGTGGGCGGTGGAGCAGAGGCGGCGGGAGGACTGACGTGACTAGGTAGGATCTTTCAGGAAACGTAACGGGCAGGGAGGGGGGGTGTATGGAGGGTATCGGGAAGGAGGCCGTTGGACCACGTTCAGGATGACGCTGGGGGGTGGGGGTTGAACGAGACGGGTGGACAGAATGTGGGAAGGGGGATGAGGGATAGGAGCCCGATCGGCCAGCTAGCAGAAATGACGGGGTAGGGCAGTCTTTAGCGGGTTGGGTGAGCAGTATCAGGCAGGAGAGAGATAAGAGTTTAGTGAGTTAGAAG